CTCTATAATATCTTCGCGATATATGTTTCGCGAAATAATTGTCGCTACATTGTCTTCGCGATTTGGGTTTCGCGATAATAATTTCGCTATAAAATTTTCGCGATTAAAGTTTCGCGGTTATGTATTCGCTTTAAAGGTTTCGCTATAAAATTTTCGCGATTATTGATTCGCGATAAAAGTTTCGCGGTAATGTATTCGCTTAAAATGTTTCGCGATAAAAGTTTCGCTATAAAATTTTCGCAATTATTGATTCGCGATAAAAGTTCGCGGTAATGTATTCGCATTAAAGGTTTCGCGATAAAAGTTTCGCTATAAAAAATTCGCGATATTTGTTTCGCTATATTGTATTCACGGTAATGTATTCGCTATAAAGGTTTCGCGATAAAGGTTTCGCTATAAAAAATTCGCGATATTGCATTCGCGGAATAGTATTCGCTATTATGGATTCGCGATAAAAGTTTCGCTATAAAATCCATTCGCGATAAACGACATTCGCGATAAAAGTTTCGCTGAATTGACATGAAACCGATTTTTAGTGTATATATATGACTAACTTTATTTTGCAATGTTGATAGATTTTGTTGATTTCACAATATCTGGAACGTTTATTTAGTTGATTAACCTGTCATCTTTTTCTTTTATTAATGACAGATAAATCAGCATTTGTACAATAACAAAATTTTTTTTTAAATAATAATCCACTGAACCCCCAGAGAAGTCACCATGTGTCATTCTAATTGATATCTAAAATACAATAAATAATTTGCTTCAAATCTGCACAACTCTATAATTAAAATTTCATGTGTAACCCATTATTTTTAATTTTACTTGAATATTATATTTTACTTTAAATCTGCACAATATTGTAATTAAAATTTCATGTGACCCATTAGAATTGAATTTACTTGAATACTGTTGAGTTGAATTTAGAATAGAAAAATTTGAAGAAAAATTGTGCAAACTTTATTAAGATAGGTGGAAAACTGAAAATCACATATATATAATTGAATACTGGAGTTGAATTTAGAATAGAATGATTTGAAGAAATACTGTGCATACAAAATATTTATTTCTATTTTTTTGATATTTTTAAATAACGTAATTATTTTTTCATTATTTTTAGATAAAAATAAATAAATATGTTCAATCATTGGCGTACGCAGCGGGGGGGGGGGGGGGGGGGGGGGGTCTCCTAATGCTTTAAATTTTAAAAGTCCACGGAAATTACCTTGTCCCCCCCCCAAAGCCAAAATGCAGATGCCGGACATATTTTTCTAAAATATTATTTTTTATATTTTATTATAATTATTCATATCTATTTCTTTTTAAATTTTTATATTATTACCTTTTTCATTTACTTATTTACTTTATCAATTAATTCATTTTCTTTGTGGCGTAATATTTATCTATTATTTTTAAATTTCCCGGTATTATAATTTTCAAATTTCTAGTCTGGATATTAGACTTTTTTTAAAAACGCTGAAGGTGAAAATCATGCCAAAAAGCAAAAAAGTATAGTATGATAATTTAATAAACAAAAGCTGTGAACTGATGATTTCCTCAAAAGTATCAATTCAAAAGGGGGATATGATTCCCATTTCATCAATAATTGATAAAAATAGGGTTAAAATTGCAAAAGAAAATAGAGGCAAGATAAAACTAACTATTGAGACTATTATATATTGTGGCTTGCAAGGCCTAGCACTTCGTGGCCACAAGGATTCAGGAAGCTTAAATTTTAATAATAATGATAACGAAGGTAATTTCCGTGGACTTTTAAAATTTAAAGCATTAGGAGATCCTGCATTAATGGAGAGCCTCATTAGTACCAATAAAAGTGCTACTTATCTCAGCCCTAGGATATAAAATGAGATAATTGATATTTGCAACAATATATTTTAGAAAAATTGATTGTTGAAATCAATTCTGCCCCATGCTTCTCAATTTTGGCAGATGAGACCACGGACATTGCTGGCATTGAGCAGATGTCGTTGTGTGCGCGATATGTAGATACTCATAAAAACATTATCAAGGAAATGTTTCTCCAATTTATTCCTGTTTCAAGCATGACTGGGTCTGCTTTAGCTGATGTAATATTTGTGAATCTTAAAAAATTAAAAGTAATAATTAATCTTATTATATAATTATTTTAAAAAATATAGCTAAATATAAATATAATACGTGGGCAAGGGTATGATGGAGCACGTGCAATGAGTGGACAATTCAATGGGCTTCAGGCATTTATTTTAAAAAAATGCCCAACAGCTATATATGTCCACTGTGCTGCCCATTCACTCAACTTAGCAATATTGGATTCATGTTCTTTACCATTGATATCAAATTGTTTAAGTTTTTAATTATTAAATTAAATTTTTTATATTTATATCAGGTAAAATATCTAGCATCTATGAGATGTTTAGATACTCCAAGCGTCAAAATATTTTAAACAGAATTATATCTGAAACTCCTTGCCCAACAAGGAGAAAAAAATTGCAAAAAGCTTGTCCAACAAGATGGAGTCTTCGACATCAAGCAGTAACAGTTTTTATCGAGTTAGAAGAGCCGATTATTAATGCTCTTATAGAATTATCACAATGTCTGAAAAAGATATTTCTTCAGAAGCAAGCAAGTTACTGGATTCAATACTTATACCGAATTTTTTTTTCACATTAGAATGTATTAATAAATTATTTAATTATACAACTATTTTATGTAATACTTTTCAAAAACCTGATATTGATTTGATTGAGATGATGAGAATAGCAGAGACAATTTTATTAGAATTCAAATAGAGCTAATGCTGATGAGGAATTTCATATTTTATATGTTAATGTTGAATCAAAAGCAGAGCTATACGAGTTCAATATTTGTCTCCCTCGACTTACAGTAAGGCAAACTTATCGTCCAAATATTAATATAGGGTCAATAGAAGAATATTATAAAATAAATGTCTTTATACCTCTTTTGGATACATTTATAACCCAAGTGAATGAAAGGTTTTTAATTTATCAAGAAACACTTATCAATCTGCAGATATTACTTCCGCAAAAGCCCACTGAACCTTTTTCAGATGGTGATAGAAAAAAAATAAAATATTTGCAAGATTTTTATCATGAAGACATTAATGTATCTCATGATGCTTTATTAACTGAATGCCAACTATGGTATAAAAGATTAACTATGGTTGATATAGTCCCAAAAAATGCTATGATGCTTTGCATCATTTCAAACATCTTTTAGATTATTTTCCCAATATATTGAAATTATTATATATATTAGCAACTCTTCCCATTAGTACTGCAACTAATGAGAGAACATTCTCTTCTTTAAGAAGATTAAAAACGTACCTAAAAAGTACAACTTCTGAAAGTAGGTTGAATGGTCTGGCCCTTTTGAATATTCATAGGCATTTGACGCCAAACACGGATGAGATAATTGAAAAATTAGCTCCCTCCCAACGAAGATTGGATTTTACATTATAAAAATATAGTTTCTATAATATTTTTTGTGCTATCATTTTTTAATGTCTTATACATTTTTCTTTTACATAAAAAATATAATTATTCATATTTCCAACATTTAGATTTTTTATACTTTATATATAAATTTTAAAAGCTCAAAAAAATTTAAATTTCTATTATGGATTATTTATTTTATAGTCATCATATCCTGGTTATATCCACTTAATATTTTATAATTCAGATTTATTTAAAGTATTTATATGCCGCCGGTTATATTCGTTTAATATTTTTTAAATCAAATTTATTTTTATATATCGGTTTATATATTTAATTTTTTATAATTCATATTAATTTAAATTTGTATATTAGAAATAGTTATTAGTCCTAATAAATTTATGCTTGATATTTTTAAATAACAATAATTTTATTTTAAAAAATTTTAATTATCCCCCCCCCCCACCAAATTCCTGCGTACGCTACTGTGTTCAATGATATGAAGGACGTAGCGAGAGGACATAGGAAAATTATAATAATAATATTCCAATATTTACGATCAAAATATGATTTTACGAATTCTATTTAAAAATGTATTAATGGGATGGATTTTACAATTTAATAACCGATAGACATTGATATCTTGTGTTATTTTTTGTGATTCTCTTTTACTTAAAAATATATTATCTTAAAGCAGGAAAAATTGGTTAAATTTTTTTTTAATATAGATAAATTCCCATACTTAAAAAATAATACGCGAACATGCAAAGGCATAAGAGAAAGAGAATTAGACTTGCCCCACTTTTATAAATTTCTCAATAATGACGATAAATTTTTAATTAATTCGAAAATTTAAATCTCAAATAAAAAATAATTAATATTATTATAAATATAAACTATTTATTATTAGAATTTTCTATATTTTTTTAAAAAATGTATATTTTTATTAACGTTATCAATACTATTCGCATAAAATCATCCAACTTTTACATATAATATTTTACTTGAAAAATAAAGATTGATTGTTTGTATAAAATTAGTATATTTTTATAGATTTATAAAATTAAGATATTATTTTATAAAATTTGGTCTCCCTCATTTACCTTTATATAATAATTAAAACAAATACAGTACAAAGAGGTTTAAATTAACAAATTTTGAAAAATATATTAAAACGATACTGACCTTCTTAAGAACAATAAAGTAATAATTATGAGAGTGAAAGGAGCCAAATAAGTCATATTCCCTAACCTGGCCAAAGGCCCGCACTTTTAGGACCTGCCAAAAAAAATTACCCACAATTTAAAAATATTCCCAAAAAATTTAAAAGGCGCATTCTATAAAAATTATATATTAAGGATTTAAATTACCATCAAGATTTAAATGAATAAAGGATTATCATTTTTTCATGTGAGCTTTTAATAAGCCCAATGTTATATTAAAAGGTTAAAGTACCTTCTAATGTTAAATATAATTTTGAATATAATACTAATTTATTTGTGCTATTTATATTATAAAAAAATTGAATAAATATTTTAATAATACACTCGCATTTTAGATAATATGAATAAAAATAAATTTGCATAATAATGTCACTAATTATTTGTCATTGAATATAACAAGACATATAATTTAACGTTATAAATATTATTTTTGAGTCTGTTTTATATATATATATTATTACCAAAATTTTTATCATTTTTTTCGACGAACTATTTTTCTCATCTTTTTCTTCGTCTTTTCTTTTTGGAAGACGAGTAGGAAGATATTATACTTTTGGCTAAGCACCTTGAACAATACCAGTTTTCATTTTCAGCGGGCGCTTCCGTTATATTGACACAAACCCTTGTAAAAAAAACATTTTTTTTTAAAAATATACGTATGTTAGATTACAAAAATAAGGGCAAAATTTTGAAAAAAAATGCTCTTATTAGTACATTATTTTTTTAAAAAAATTACCAATGATACCAATCATCGCAACTATCGCACCCTATCATAGGGCTGCCATCGTCTGGATGAGTACACGCTGGGCATATCCATATTTTTTCACCTTTTTCATTCTGTTTTTATAAATTTTATTAATCGTTCGTTTGTAAGATATGGAAGGGGATTTGATTTTAGGAATAATAACTAAACTATCATTATACTAAATAAAGAACAATCAAAAAATAATTATGACTTATTTTTTTTTTTTGATATTGATGACAAATTCAATATGAATTTTAACTTTTAAAATATTATTTAAGGATAATTGCTCCGATGCAAATAGCCAAATTATTTGTCATCCTAAATAATTGAGATTATATAATCACCAGAAACTAGCAGAAATCAAATTTTCAAAATATTTTTTAAACATAGTGCAGATTTTTAAGATTTGATTTGGTGGGTAATTTTAAAAGGAAATTTAAAACATGAACAAAAAATAAATGATGATTTTTCCAGCTATTTAAATTGATATATTTTAAAAAATTGGCCCTGCCATAAGTTTTGTATATATATTATTTATAAACGCTCCACTTTATTCTTCTTATTAATAAATATAATTAAAAAATTAGCCTGGCCCAGGTTTTGTAAAAAAAAATAGGCCCAGTCCGGGTTTATTTTCTTTAAATTTATGACCAGATCCGTATACATGAGTCTTGGTCTGTGCCTGTAAGTCTATGTTAAATATTGTAGATCGCAAGCAAAAATAGTAATGCTAATAATTATAATTAGAATAAATGTAATGTTCCAAATGTATTAAATCTTCAATATGAAAAATAAAACTTACTATAACCACAGACCCCAAGGTTTCTGTTATAACTGTCCTTTCAACTGAGGAATTGGATAGTGGTGGGATTTTGTTGATATTAGTGTTAGCTATGAGATTAAAATCGGCCCCAGCTAGCATATTGCTCGTTAAATTATTCTTCACGTTTGAAAGAATAATGTTAGGTATGGGTAGGAGAGGAGAAGTTACATTGATGTTAGTGGATGCTTGAAATGGTTTGGAAGATGAAGAAGGAAGTGGATTAGAAAGATGAGGACCTAACCAAATTTTATTTATTTTTAAGGATAAATTATGATGTTTAATAATGAACATAAATTTTTCAAAAAAATTAAAAATAACTAAGAGTAAACAAAAATTAACAATTTATGGAATCTAGAGTGTCGATTACTTCATCGGTGTTTAGCCTATTTGGAAAGCCGTGGGTCTCACCCACAAGCTTTAGCTGTTTAAATCGATATTTTTCCGAATCTAATTTAACAATTATTTAAATAATCTAATATAGTCTGCAATGGTTGGTTTTAGCCAAAAAGCATGCCTGTAGTTGTTTTTAAATTTCTCAGCCCGCCACCCACTATAATTTGTTAAAAGATTTACCCGCCTGTCCATTTATCTATAAATTATGTTTAACCAGCCCACCCGCCTAATGTTAAAAAATTATTTTAATGGCTGGTTTTATTTATTTTAAATTTTTAATAAACATTATATAATATGCAATATTATGAAATAAAACTATTATTTTTAATAAATTAAAGTCTGATCTGCTCATTTTGCCGAAAATATTAAAAATTCACCTGCCCATTACTTTAAAAATAATTTTTAACCCGCCCAATCTTGAAAAATTTTAGAAAACCCGAACAGGCCCGCCAGAAGTATGGGCGGGCGTTGCGGGCTAAAAATTTGCAGGCCTCTAGTCTAACCTTCCCTACTCTATTCCCTCTCAATATAACTTTTATACCCTTCCCTACTATATTCCCTCTCAGAATATGATAACTTTTATTTTTTTACTTGATATTTTCCCGAGAATTTTAAGCTCGTTGACATCCTGGATACTAGGCGTATCTTCAAATTCATTATCATCGATAGAAGACACCGATCTTTTACGTTTGGAGGAAGAAGAGTACGTTTCGGAGTTTAAGGTAATTTTGTTAATATTGTGGGGAGTGCTTTTTTTAATCTTTTTGCCCTTTTTAATATGGGATGGTTTTTTAGTCGTTTGTTCTACGTCTATATTTAAAGTATAATATATCCTTATGTAATGACTTTGAAAAATTGTTTTATATATGATTATACAATAATAAGAGCGACATTTAACAATTTTAAACTTTCAGTGGCCATTATCTGCGAAACATATATATTTATTTAAATCCTGAAATGATTAATTTAAAAAATTGGTATTTAACTAATAAAAAAATTATTGGGCAAACGGGTTTAAAAAAATTAAATTATTTTGTAGGTTATTTTTTCCAAATCATAGACGAATGAAATTTTTTAAAACCATGGGGAGAGTGAACTTATTCATTCTTTTTAATCCTCATATAAAACACATTTAAAAAAAGTTTAATCAAATTGATTGGCTTTAAAACAATAGAAAAAAATATATAGTGCATATTCGATGAAAAGTATTTAATCTGTTTTTAAATTGTCAGGAATATTATATTGTATTTAAACAATAAATTTTGGATAGGTTGATTTGAGTCCGCTGGACCGAGGCAATATAGTCAATAAAATATAGGCCTGACCCGTGGTCCAAAAAATGCAAATGTTATAATTCTTTCCTAATTTTTGATTACAATAAAATAAATTTTTAAAAATAGAAATTATTTTTAAAAAATCAGGAGGTAGGAAATATTTACTGTTAATTTTCTTAGAATATTTTGCAATAGAATAAAATAGATAAACAAACATCATTAAATTATCAGTTATTACTGGATATTTCAATTTAATGCATAAAATTAAAATATAAAATAAATATTTTGAGTTTGATATTTCAATTTAATACATAAAATTAAAATATAAAATAAATATATTGAGTTTGATATTTCTTCCCTATAAACCTTTTTTTAAATTTAGACCGTAACCTAAAAAATTATTAGCCAAGGGCGGGGCCGAGATATTTGGTTTTTTAAGGTATCTAAGGGGTAATTTGAAAAAGGCAGAAACTAAAAATGGGTATATAATTTCTTTGAAATTTACCTATTGGCGAAGATTTGGTTGTAGATACATTGATGATGGCTAAGTTCGGCGTGGCATAAGTTTTAATATGTTTCCTTCTATTGAGTAAATCCAAATCGTCCAAAGAATCGCTGCCTTCCAAAGAATTACGTGTCTGGCTGTTATGATTGATGAATCTGGAGTTTTCAATGAAATTACTTAGTCCATAACCGGTTATAGTTGATTCCAAGTCTGGAGCTCGGGGTTTATCCACTAGAAATTGTGGTTTTTAATAATTTAAGAAATGTTAACTATCAATGGCTATGATAATTAATAGCCATTAAGAAAGAATCAGAGAAGCTGATGCGGGTAGTACCAAAAGTGCAGTGGATTATTTGTTATTAAGGAGATGTGATAGATGTATAGTAAAAAATGTGAAAGTGATACCGTGAGAGAAATGTATTAATCAGCATCGACTAGTTATGGAGATATTTCACTTTTAAAGGCGCCAGGATCACTAAAAGAAAGTTTGTTTGAAGGGGAAGAGTGCTAGACGTCAATTCAATATGACATTGGTAAGGGAGGCGGAGGTGGCACAAGCATCTGGGGTAAATGACAAGTGGGAAGTCATGAAGAAAGCCTGGGTGATGATAACTGAGGAGGTATATGGATTAAAAGGGCCGTAAGGAAACTTGGTAGTGGAACCCTGAGGTAGCGAAAGCTGTGGATGAGAAACGGGGGTAAAGCAGATGGCAAAAAAGAGGCAGGATGTTGTTAAATGTTTGAAAAATATGGAAGGAAAAATGGTGACTGATAATAGTGGTATTAAGAATATCTGAAAGATCTACATGGAAGGACTTTTGAATGAAGAAAATGAATGGGATAATGATGTTAGTTGTGGAAAGGTAGAAGGTCCAGGAAGTAAATTTGGCAAGGACAAAATAAAGAGAGCAGTGAAAAAGATGGAAAAAGTAAAGAAATCTGGGTTAACGAGAGTGGTATCAAAAATGTTTAAAGGTTCTGATAACTTAGGGATTAAATGGTTAATGAATTTAGCCAATCAAATTGTCACAGAAGGGATTATCCCTGAGGACTGGCGAAGAAATATAATTACAGTATACAAGGCTTACAGAGCTATTAAACTTTTGGAACATGGAATGAAGGTATTTGAGAGGGTGTTAGAGAAGCGGATAAGGGAACAAACAAAAATTAATGAAATGCAGTTTAGTTTTACATCGGGGAAAGGCACGACAGATGCAATTTTTGTCGTGAGACAAATACAGGAGAAGTATCTTGCGAAAGAAAAGATACTGTATTATGCGTTTGTTGATTTGGAGAAGGCATTTGACAGGGTGCTGCGCGAGGTTATTAGATGGGCTGAGAAAATCAGGTATGAAGGAATGGTTGGTTATGGCAGTGATGGCAATGTATGTGGGAGAACAAACTGCAGTACCAACGAATGATAGAGATAGTGTAAGATTTGAAGTGAAGGTAGGACTTCATCAAGGATCCGTGCTGTGTTTATTATTTATCTTAGTAATGGATGTGGTGCTAGAGAAATGTGTGAAGGGCTTCCCTGGGAGCTATTATATGCAGATGGCCTTGTATTAATCGCAAACAGTGAGGAAGAATTGCGGGATAAAATTTGCAAATGGAAGATGGCTATGGAAGCAAAGGGCCTGAAAATGAGTGCAGCAAAGACAAAGGTAATGATTGGTTGATAAAATCTAAAGATAGAGGAATCCGGTAAGTGGCCTTGTGGTGTATGTGGGAAAGGAGTTGCTAGAAATTCAATCCAATGAACCAGATGCCAGAAATGGGTACATAATAGATGTAGCGGAAAAAGGAGTTTGATGTTATCAAGAATGACCCTTTATTTCTAGAACTTGCATAAAAGGAGTACATAATAATGATAACAAAAATGGTGGTCTGGATATTGGCAATGGGTTAATCCTAGGTAAAGTGAATAAGTTTTGTTATTTGGGCGATATGCTAAACGCAGATGGTGTAGATTCTGCCGTTGTTGTAAGGGTCACATGGAAGAAGTTCAGAGATATGTGGTCTATTCTAACAAATAAAGAAGTCTCTCTGAAGTTAAGGGGAAAAGTCTACGTAAGCTGTAAGGAGTTGTTTAGTTTTTAGCGGTGAAACGAAGCCAATTTAGAAAGAACAAAGATGAGGATGATAAGATAGATGTGTCGGGTATTTCTGAGAGTGAAAAAAACTAGCAAGGAATTGCGAGCAAGTTTGGGTATAAAAATGATTGGAGTGGTAATGTGACGAAATAAATTAAGATGGTTTGGGCATGTGGAACACATGACAAAAGATGACTTGGTAAAGAGATGCGCCTTGATGGAAGTAGGAGGATCAAAATCTAAAGGAAGGTCCAAGATGACGTGGACAAATGTGTTAGCGGCGGATATGAGAAGCAATAATCTTACAAATATTGATGCTCAGGACCGTCAAAAATTGGCCTACCTAGGTAAATCTGGAAATCGCCTTAAAACGGAGAAGAAGAAGGTCTATGAAAGGCTATACTTTATTTATCATTAAAAACTCCATAAATATGTCAAAGAAAAATACTCGATTTTAAAATTTTTTAAATGCATTAATCGATTAGCAGTCTAGTATTATATAAATGACATTTAACACTTTCCAAATCTCCTACTTATCCATACCCACATATTACAAAGAACACATATACCTTGATCTCCTCCAGGCATGTCATAGTAATAAGGATAGGAACTAGCTTGATCTACAGTGCCGATAGTAGGAAAATCCTTAACTTTGTTCGCATCAGTAAGATGAATGTCAGTATCCCCATCACTGTCAGCTTCACTGTTGGAAGGCGTGTATATAGGCTCGCGTTCGGATTTTTTGCCGGAGATCATAGGATGCAAAGGTGTAACATTTTTTACGATATTTGATGATAAAAAATTTTTTTCTATTTTGAAAATTTTTCCTGAACCATCTGATTTTTTTTCTAAATTGATTAATTTTTCGGTCTTTGAAACAATATTTTTGGGTGTGCTTGTATTAGTTGATTTTTCGACTATATATATTTTTATAAAATAACAAATTAATTCAATATTCCTTAAATTAATTAAAGCTATTGAAAAAGACGATAAATTTTACTGGCAGTTCGAGGAGGTTTCTCTGGCAATATCACTACCGCCTTCATGTTTTCTTTAGATATCTTAATTTTTATTGGCACAATAGGAGACCGAGGCCTATCTGATAGGGGTTGTATTTCCTCTTTGATATCCTCATTATTATTATCCTGAGCGTCAGAATTTTCGAAACTTTCTTCATTCACTCCTTCATTATCAAAATTTTCTTGTTCGTCTTCCCCTGATAAACTATCTTGAGAGGGAGGAAGTATTTTGAAATCGCTTAGATAAGGTATTTTTTTGAGATCCGAAAATTATAATTTTCTTTCATTATTTTTCATATTTTAATAGCTTTATTTTAAATTTTTAAAATAACTTAAACATTTTTTTCTTATACCTTTGCACCAACTAATTACTTTTAGAATCATAATTTTTCAATAATGCCTTAATATGCATTTTAAAGGACAGTTACCCAAATAATTAGATCGAATGCTCCCAGTCATAAGGTTACCACTACTTTTGCATACCAATTTAATTTATAGGACGATAATTTTTTTTTTAAATAAAAATGGCCAAATAGTAAGTGAATGGCATTTTGCAAGATGATCCGAAATTACAAAAATAAAAAAAAATCAACATAGTTTAAGAAAATATATCAACTTAAGAAAATTTATTAAAGCTATTTAATTTTGTAAAATATCAAAAAATAGAATATAGTGATTTTCCGATTTTGATGATACTTTATTTTTTTCGATTGACCCTTTTACTTTTTCGATCCGACCTTTTCTTACCTTACCTTAAATTCTTTTCCTTTTTTGATAGAAAATTTTTTTTCTCCTCTTTTTTAGGAAACCTCTATATTTATTCAATTGTAACAAAACCTATCAATGGATGGTTTTCGAGTGTCATTATATCAAGATATTTAATGATGGGATTCTTGAAATTAACTTAGAGAAATAGTGGCATAAACAATCACCCCCCCCCCCACTCCTCCTCCTGTATAGAAAATATGATTATGATTAACAAGGATTTAAATTTTCAAAAAGGTTTTAAAAATGCCATAACATTAAATAATTAATAATTATATAGGTGAACTGTGTAAATCACCTAGATATTTGCGAATGTCAGATTCGGATATCTGATAATAATATAGATTTCTTTTATCCTTCTTTTGAGAAATAGGCATATTTAAGGTATTTTATTTAGGTAGCTTTGTGTTAAAGTAATTAAAAAATTTTTAATCTAATCTAAACTAAATTGATTATTACTTTATATATTCGTTTTAGAATCAAAGACCAAGTCAAATAATGATATAAAAAAGAAAATAGTGTTACAAATAAGTAGTAAGAAATATAAATATCTCTGGCTAATGAAGATAACTAAGAGCCATAAGAAATAAATGTTATTCTCCACGGTCTTTAATTGTAACAGGGGTGGAGAAATGATGTTCCAAGACATGAAATTAATAAAGCACAAATAGGTTCAAAACATTTCAACCTTAAATCTTATTCAAAAAAATATCCTGGAATCAAAAAATGACGCAAATAAGGTGGCTGAAGCAGATGTCATTTGGAAACAATTGATACATTTTTTAAAATATTTGAATTGTTATTTTTTCAATAATACATAATTCAACATTCACAGATCTATATTCAGAATGCGAGGCTTATCATTTCAACAATATTTCATCATTCTTAAAAATAAAGTCAAAATATCCCCATCTCGTAACACTAGCATAAGCCAGGTAAAAACAAAATTTCCGTAATAAATTTTTCTTCTGGCAATCCTGATTAGTGTATCAAAAATATAATAGAAACTGATCTCATTGATACATTATAGAAACATTTTTTATTCGATTATAAAACATTCCAAATAATTTTTTTTTAGTGAAACTGTGTTTTGAGTAATATATAAGAATACCTTGATGGGGAAAAAAGTATTCGCAGAAAAAAATGAGATAATTTTTACGTTATTTGGAAGGCTTTATCTGAGCGTTGCATTGGTTGTACAGTCTAAAAAGAGATTTTCAAAAAATATAAATATATTTTATTTTATCACATAAAATATTATATTATTAGATAATAAAAAAAAATCATTCGATCAATTTTAATAGCATATCATGCCATCTAAACATTTACAATTTAATTAACAAAAAACATATATTTCAAATTAATTCTTGAAGGTTTTTATAAACGTGTAAATTGGAGAAAACTCTCTTTGACCAAAAGTGGAGTTAAACCCCTATAATAATTAAACAACTAATTTAAAAAAAATAATTATTCGTATATCTTTAAATGAACAAAAAAATATTTTATTTTCAATTTTAACAATATTACAAAAAAATGTTTATATACTGTAAGGATTTGAGCAAATACCTCGTTCGTAATAGTGGTGGTAGTAAACTGAGGTGCAAAAATACCCAATCTTGCCGGCAATATTTGACGTTCTTTGGCAAAATTTTCAACGCTATATTTTAAAAAAATTATAAATTTAAAATTCTATAATTGATCATAAAACAATTCTAATGACAATCAAAAGAAATAAAAAATATTAAAACAGATTGTCGACTAGTGGAAGGGTAAAAGCCTGCTAAGCAAGCTTAAATTTATTTGATCATGTATATTTTATTTTTGAACCTAAAAAAACTAAGCACTTTAATCAAAACAATATTAAATTTTAACACACCTAAATGCTAAGGTCTAAAAAGATATAGGAATTTGGTTTACTAAATTGATATTTGATTATTAATATATTTAAAATGAGTATCCAATATTTTATATATTACAGTGTAACAGAATCGAGATTCATATTGGGATTTTCGGAAGCTAAATCTGAAAGGGATGAACGTGAGGTATATTTGTAATCGGATTCACCTATCCATCATGTTTAATGCATCATTTAAAATATATTTAAAAATGAGAACAGAAATCTGTCATAAAGTGACTGATTATAAAAGTAGTTCGGTCATTCCAAGTAATCAGAATAGTTTCGGCGACTTTTCAACTAAATAAAATTTTTCAAAATGGTTAGGTTGGTAGTGAGAATTATTGAAATCAAAATTTAATTGTTTAAGCTCTATTAGTTTTCTGGATAAAAACGTTTAAAAAATGATGACGTTTGCATTTCGTAGCAAAATTGTAATTGATAGAGAGCTACATTTATTGTCATTAGGTAACCCTTCAAGTCCTCTAAAAAAATGAAAATATTTATAACCTTTTACTTCTAGAAAAGGTAAAATTCAAATTTTTAGTACTGGCGATACGTTCATTAAAGTAAGAAAAATTTATGCTTAAAAAATTTTCGAGATATTTTTTATATGATACGTTTGTAATAAATTGATTTTATTAAATTTAAATATCGGTGACACAGAGCGCTATAAATTTCAAAAGCAGTCTACCCTGGAAATATAGAAAAAACTTTCCAGGAGTATTTATAATATAGGCCTGGTCTAAATTATATTATTTGGCCCATCCCAATATATGGTCATTTTAAAATAATTTTAATTTGAAATTTAGTTATGGTCAATAGTAACCTTAGCCCCATTATACTTTACATAATAAGATGACATGATATTTTCTTTTTAAATCCAGCTCGTGAAGTAAATTATAATGGAGCTAAAACCACGGACCCAGAGTGAACTGAACCATTAAATAATTTTCTAACCCATTATCAAACTTTTACAACAATCTTAAAAGGAACAAACCGGTCCTTTATATTTTAAAGTTTAAACACATTTTAAATACTTTTCCCCAAGGAGTTTCTATGGGCCTATATTATTTTGTCATTTACTTTTTTTAAACCAATCACAACAAATATTCATTAAGCTTGACTTAAGTGTAATTTACTTTTTTTATGTTCACCCTTTCTAGGTGACCGTCGATCCTTCTTATCCTTGTCTTTCTTTTTCTTTTTTTTCTTCGCCTTTTTAGTGGATGGCGATAATATGGATGGTGAATCAATCCCTAAAAATGTATTCGGAATATTTGATATGGAATAGAAGTCTTGTGAAGAGAGCAAATCGTTCGAGACCGATAAATTTTGAGGGGAGTTAATCGGTTCATGAATTTTAGGTAACACTAATTGGGGCTTAGGTGACATATTTGAAATTAAGGGTAGGTCTGCAATGTCTAATTTATTTGAATGGTTTTAAAAAATAATAAGATGAAGCAAATCAAACTTTAAAAAAAATTAAATTCTTGCTCTCTTTACCAAAGAAACAGAATATATAATATACATAATTTGAAAGCAAAATTACCAAGTTGTTGCCCAATCTGAGAATCTTGTGATTTTTTTAGATCTGACCTTACAGCGTTATTTTCGGTCTTTACATTCAAAAAATCATCACCAATAGCAGATTCTATGATTATAGAGGAACTTTTATCGACATGATCCGTGTCATCTTTGTTGATTCCAACCTCTTTATAAATTTTCTCACCCGGTAAATTTGTTATATCCAGTTTAGCAGCATTCTCGAGGAAATTTATAGTATTATTCTCCTCGTATTTCTGACTTTTAAGGGCATCTATTATGGTGCAGCTAGCATACAATAAAGGAGTCTCGTGCTTCATTCTTTTAGCTGGTGATGATATTTGTGAGTTTGGAAAGAGTGATTTGCTTAAAGATTTTTTGGGCAAAAGATTTTGTTTGTGGAAGTGATATTTTTGAGAAGGTGACAAAAGAAATTCAGGATCACTCATTTCATCATCGTCATTTTCTGCTATGTCTTTTTCAGTTTTGCGACTTTTGTTAGAAACAAAAGTTTATAAATTAGGAAAAAGTATTATTATTAAAAATGGATAGGAGGGGGGGGGGGGGTAAATAAAAATTCTTTCACGTAATTTACAATTTTCTAAGGTTATATAAATAAACCGTTAATAAAAGTAGGCCCGATTTAAAGATAAATTTTAATCAGGAAGGAATTTTAAAAAAATCTAGTCATACATAAAGAATGGATGAAAAAAATAATGTTATCTAAAAAAGTCGAGTTGATTTAATTTATGCTGTAGATTCTATAGTCTAGCAGTTTTCTCGGGCGTCTAGATTGAAATGAACCAGTTGCATTCTATCTTGCCCATTTAGACAAAAAAATTAAAGTTTTAATTGGTAAAATAAAGACACACGACTATTATTATTAGTAAAATTGGCATGATTAAATCAATTTTATTTTTTGTTTGTATTATAAATAGTTATTAGCTCTCTTTTTTAAAAAAACATTTTAATACCTCATTTTACTATATAATTATTCCAATCTGCTGATATCGATTGATATTCATATATCTTGATACTAAAAAGAGTTGCAATACAAGGATAAAGTACTTTTTATTCAATTCAATATTTAACAATTTAAAAATTTCATAAGAAAATAAATGTATATCCTATTAAAAACTTTTCTCTTGTACATATTATCAATTTATTTTTGTTATATTATAAAATTTGATTAAATCAAAAAATCGGGATTTCAAATTTTATTTTACATTTTTTAAAAATATGATTTTTGTCAACCCTAACTATTAAGGATGTGCCAATCTTTTTATATCGGATTATCATCTATTCGACATATAAAAATGGCGGATACAAAATTATTTATGATACAATATTAATATTGGATCCTCTATATTTTTAAAAAAATATTACACATATTTTAAAAAAAGGAATAAGCCCATTAGCTTTATATGCTATTAGCTTCTTTTGAAATTATTGATAGTATATACGTAAAGTAAAATATAATTTTATAAAAGTTCATTAAAATGATCTATTAATTTATAAATGCTAACAAAATTAAGAATAAAAACTGGAAGCAGATGTAAAATATAATCGATATCGCATTTTCAGCAGACAGGGATATGGAATCTATGGGATTCGAAATCTCTCAATTTTATATTACTTATTGAGGGCTATTTTTAAATTCAAAACATCTTATTTGACAGAAAATGTATTCCAGTATATGTAGAGTAATGACCCTATGAATTTCCGCTAATTTTTACTATTAATTTTTTTTATTAAAAATCTATATGAGTTAAGGGCGATTCGAAGGTTTACGATAAAATTCACTGAAATCCATAGTGTGAGTAGTCCATGCATGCTGGAATATATTTCCGGTCAAATATGATTTTCAGATTTAAAAATCGTTTTCTGTAAATGATTTAAAATTAAGAGTCCGAATCCCAATGAATTCTATATCCTAATACATGATATATATTTACATGAACAATGTAATGCAACAAATAATTAGTAGTATAAAATATTATTTACATTGTTTCCTTGCCTACGCTTTTAACCGGCGAAACGGAGACAGATTTTTGACGAGTTAATATCACCTCGGTATCCTTAGTATCTTCATCGTCAAATACTTTGATGATTGGTTTACGACCACGTTTCTGCGTTAATAAATTTAATGAGATCTGAATTAGAGATCTAATAAGGAGAACGTTGCGACTAATTAGGACTTCAATAAAAAATATTATTAAACAAAAAAAATTGGATTTTGAATTTTCTTCGAGTTCGAAACTAGAAGAAAAATCTTAAAATTTAAAAGTAATCCTGCTCCTTAAATCTTATAAAACGTAATCATCATTCCATAAACAAACTAAAAAAGAAAGTTCCGTAATAGGACCCTATTTTAGTGGTAGGTCTAAAAATTTATTCTTAGATTCTTAGAGTTCAGTGCAAATTATTTAGTTTTCTAAAAAAATATATATTTATAGAACCTTCTCTTCAAAATCAAAATAAAAATTTCGTTGCTAGGGTCTGTATAACATAATACCTTTTTAAAATGACGAAAAGCGTAATGATGGGATGTAGTATTCTTCAAATATTTTTTATAATGTTTTCCTTTGACTTTATTTCTTGAGTAAATATCGTGATAATTTTTTGAAATATACTTTTTAGATTTGTATTTGTCCATTGAAGTAGTTTTATATGTGAGACTATTTGAGTGGTCAGAATCTAAATGGTTATCTTAAGGTTGGAATTTTTTAAATGAGAAATATATAAAATTAATTTTACATGTAGATAATGTTGAAAACCTTTACTCATTATTCTTGAAGATAAATTATAAATATTTATAATCATCTTTATAGATCCACCCCCACCCCCTCCCCATTAAAATGTTGTTTTCATATTTAATGCGTCGTCAGTTGGCAGGGATGATACCAGTTACAATCTATTAAACGTTACGAATTTAATATTTCTATAATATTTAAAATGTGTCTGTAACAGTTACAATCGTATTAGTAACGTAAAGTATATTTTTGCTACCATATTTTTCAGCCTACATCATCTTTATTAAGACAGTCACAAACAGAATAAAATAGGCTAAAAAGCTCATTATAATAAATTATCTGAAATATTGGTAATAACATTCCACTTTTCATCGCTAAATGGGTCTGTGAAAAGATTGAAATTACACCTTTCTTTTTAAAGAGTATTTTTCCTAAAATATAGTGAAAAAATATTTTTGATGGGTATTTTTTTCTATCATTTTCCTTTTTTTTGATTTCCTAAAAATATAATATAAACGAGATGTTGTAATTAATCAATTATGAGAATTCAATATCAATTTTCGGCCAAAATTCTTATTATTGCAATTATATCCTATTTTCACTTATTTTTATTTTATTGCAATTTAATTATGTAAGGAAGAGCCTTCCTATGAATGGTAACTGTAACCGTTACCCTATTTTCTCCAGATAGTAGTAATTTATTTGTTACATCTAACGCTAACTGTTAATATATACAAACCCTGATATTTATTTGCGATAATTAATTTTTTTTAAAATGTATACTATCATTTTCTGAATTTCCTCAAAGAGCTAAACATGATTCTACATTCATTTTTTAAAAATAGAGTATATTTACCGAGAGCGTGTAGGAGCGTAAATTTTAGTCAAAAAAATATTTTCTTTGGTAATTAAAATTTTAAAAAAAATATTACTATTTTCTGAATCTCTTTGAAAAACTAAACATGATTCTGCATTCATTTTTTTTAAAAAAAGCATATATTAACCGAGAGTGCTTAGGAGCGCGAATTTAAGTAAAAAAACAAGTGTATTTTCAAAAGACCACTAGGTAAAAAATATTTTAAAATTTAATATTAACATTTTATGAATCCTTTTAATGAGCTAAACATGATTCTGAGTTCATTTTTTATGAATAGTGCAGCGCGTATGGGGGCGCATATTTTAGTCATATAAAAAAATATTTTTTATTATGTTACCATTTTTTTTTAAATTAAAAAAACATTTTCTAAATCATCTTATAAAGCTAAATAATTATGCTTCTTTGATAGAGAGCGCGTAGTTTCTGAGGTCATATATGTTAATCATGCCCCAAAATCTCATATCTAAAATTTTCCAAAATTAATTTAATTTAACATATGTGAGTTTATCATGAGTATTTATCATAAATACCAAAATTTGGTAACTTAAATAAAAGAAGGGTTTTTTTCTATTCATTGCAATTAGAAAAATTTTGTAATTTTTTGTAATGAACATAGGTAAGAAATTGCAAAAATATGTCTTCACAAAAATTTAAGGTATTTATTAGTCTGCAATGGACCATACCTGGTCCAAATGGGTATTGGGTTGGGCCTGGTGGATTTAAAAAAAAATAGTTTGAGCTAGATCAGGCTTAAATTTTGAAATATGATATGAGTGAATTTAATGAAATAAAATTGACACATAACAAAATGCCTATATATATTAAATTTTATTTATTTGTAGGAAACTAGGCACCATATATCATTTATTTTAGATAAAAAATTTAAAATCATTTTTGTTATAAAAAGAAAGAAAGAATAAAAGTAAAATATTGAATAATTATTTGATGAAAAAAACTTAATTATATTCAGAAAAATTTTATAAACTATAAGACATTATAAAAAAATATGACAATTCTCATTTAAGATACCACAAGTTCATTAACTTGAATGAAGATTAATCTATTTCTAAAATAGGTAAATATGTTTAGGAAAAAAACTAATTTCTATATTTAAATTTTGGGGCTGGCTGGATGTACAAATAATTTTTATTTTGGGTCAGTGTTTGGGGACAAATGATAAAAATTGTTCAGTATTAGGCTGGGAAATATTTTTTTAAATTTTATGCCAGGCTTGGTTTGGAAAATTAGGCCCAATGCTTATCACTACTATTTTTACTTAAGGGTTATAAAGTTATTTGCATTAGCAGTTACCCTGTCAACCAAGTTACCCCTGTCTCCGTTATATATTATATAAATTAAGGCTAACACAAATTTACTCATAAAATTAAGAGCAAATTTCTGATTTACCCTTCACTCTTTGTTGAACTAATTGTAGCAATAATTTTTTATTTGTTGCTCTTAATTTTTAGATAAAGGAGTTTACAGTATAGTCATTTATATATTTTCAAAAAAATTTAATCAAATATTTTTTTGGCAAAATAATACTATCAAAAAATTACCTTTTTCTAGAGCTGAATTACTATCAGTTTTATTTAATTCTTGGCCAAATTCAATTTCATTTTTAATCAATTTTAAGTTCTTTGAAGTTTCACTTATTGAGAAATCAATAGCTAGTGATTCTTCAATATTATATTTTCTTGGCCTCCCAACTTTTCTTTTAATAGGTGTCAAAATCTGAGTTTCATTTAGATTTAGAGATGAAGTGGTCAAATAATTTTCTTTTGGTTGTATTTCAGCCTTGATTTTTATATTTAAGTTAGTATAAGTAACATCTTCATGATTATTGCCATCATTTTCATCTAGAGAAGAATAATCCGAAGAATTACCATCTATATCAGAAGGTGGTTTTGGAGGCAATTTACATTTAGATAAGGTGCCTGTTTTTATACTTACATATTCTGATTTATTTTGATTTTTAGTATTGAAATCTGTTAATATAATTTGATTATTTAGTATCATGGTAGAATTTTTTTTATCATCATCTATATTAGTAATTTCAGTTATATCTTCTTGGGATATAGGGCTATTTAAAAATAAATTATCACTTATTTAAAATTTAATTAATAATGTTTATTTTAAAATTTACTTAGCCTCTGTAATTGGATTTGGATATTCTAAAAACAAGTTTACATAATGTTAAATCAGTATGATTTACCTTGATTGACTGGCAGTGGAGGTAGATATTCATTTATATATGATGGAAGATCATTAAACTTTAAAAAGTCTAATTTATTTGGTTTTTTTATGGGAAATGATGTAACATGTTGCACAAAAGGCATTATTGGTATTTCATTCATGTATTCATTTATTTCCTTAATAGATATCCCTAAAGCATCAAATGATAAAACTATATCACCAAGTGTGGGCTTGCTTCTTTCCGCTTTATAAAAACAATTTAATAAAATTAGAAATATAAATGTACCATGTTCCATATGACACCTAATAATTTTGCCCATTTCATGATAAAATTTTTCCAATATATCTTCCAAAATTTCTAAAGAACTTTTAGATGCAGAGGTCCATCCAGTATATTGACATATTTGAGCAATTATGCTTATTGACAATTCATGAGCATACACTTCAGCCATTTAGATTTAGAAAAAAATGATATCTTGTCATCAAAAAGAATTAACAGAAATAAATGTGATAGACACTTAGACGAAAACATGAGTAAATAATCGTTTAGATATGTAAATATTATTCGCACATTAGATCCGGTGGAAAATTTGAAGTGATAGAACGGTAAATATTATTTTATTTTAATCATATTTATTTACAGATTCTATGAACATTATATCTCAATATTTTACAAAAAGCAAGGTTGTTAATAAACAAATTCAATATAGACCATAAACTTAAAATTTACCAATACCCCTCACTATAATATACATTTTACTTAATCGGGTACGGGCTTTTCTCTCTCTTCTTATCTCCCGTAGGCGTTTAAGCAAGTGGTTTCGCCTGTTGCGCGCACAGGTAACTGCAGCCTGCCCAAAAATTGTGGATGGGCTCATCTCATAGGCTACCCCCCAAATTTCTTAACCCAATTAGATGGGATGAGATAGTCCAAGCGTAGCTCTGCTGTTTTATATAGCGATAAAGGGCAATTGCGCTTATTATGACGTATGACGTAAATAATCGTTTAGTGTTGTTAAATTAATGGCGTCGTGAGGGGGGGGGGGCGCAGGGGCTTGAGCTCCTGGAAAATATGAATAGCCCCATGAAGCAAAAAATAATTTTTTAATGGAATATTAACCCCTTAAACTAAAATTAAATTTTTTTGATTGCCCCCTGAAAGATTTCTTTTATAATTCTATTAAGAAAAATATAGATTTAATTTTTTATTTAAAAATTAATAAGACTATTTAAATATTTATTAAATGAATACTTTTTTAAATATTAGATTAAATTAATACATATAAATTATATTTTCAATATGTCAGCTAGCAATCAAATTTTGTATTAAAAATAGAATATCAATATCTCACTAAATAATTTAGCATTAAAAGTTGAAGCTAATTGACTATTATTTAAATTATTTTATAACCCTAATAAAATAAATATAATTATTTATTAATTGAAAACTAAAAAATTTAAAATTGTAATTAGCAGAGTTCAAAATGACTAATCAACTGTATATTTATTTTTAAATTTTATTATCATACCTATTTCTAAAATTATTTTCAAGGTCCAAATAAGTATAATAAAAAATAAGTAAGTAGACATATAGTTTATAATCCTTTATTATATTCAGTTGTTTATAAAATATTAGATATAATGCCACTTTTATGGACGTATTTGACAGTTATAATATATTTATAATGAATTTTGCTAATAAATGCTTTTGATAATAAGTATAGTAACAATTTGCTTTTAAGTAATTAACGCCATCTTAGTTATAAATAATTTTATAAATTAAACATTTTATTATTCATCCTACAATAGATGTAATAAATTTGATATCTTTTCTTTTCTTTTTTACGTTAGGAAAGCTATTTTTTCTTTTTCAAAAACAGTTTTGAGTTAAATTTTTAATTATTATTGATATTTTTACAAACTACTATATTTTAAGGTATATATACCAACTAGAGGTGGTACGACTATATATAAAATCTTAATTGTTTCATCATATTATTCTGGTCCTTATTTTATAGTTCCAAAATGTTTCATTTCTAACATGGCATCCTTGCCATGTAAATAACTCAAGGCCTCAATACATTTGCACAATTATTTCTTCCAAAGATTTTTGGTGTTTTTATTTTATCAATTTATCCAACATAATAGATTTTCATACTAGTTTACATCGTGAGTGTCAAGGCTATTACTGCAAATTAACCAGCATCTATTATTTGTGTTGCTGTAATTTAAGATTATTACTACAAGGGATGAGAACAAATGATTGCATTAGTCGTTTATATATCATTAAAATGGAAGATAATCTTATAGAAATTTAATATCTCACAATAATTTTCTCGATTACTTATCTAGCTTCCATCATGTCATCTAAAAGGAAGCTCTAACCAACATAGGCGTATCCAAGAGGGGGATTTCCCCCCCCCCTTCAAAAATTTATCACTTTTCGGTGGGTCTATTTATCGCTCGGCTAGAAAATATGGCTCGGCTAACCACATAATAAATCATTTATTACTAAATATCGCTCGGCTAGTAAATGTCGCTCGACAAGCCACATGATAAATTATTTATTACTAAATATCGCTCGACTGGGAAATATCGCTCAGCTAACCACATAATAAATCATTTATTACTAAATATCGCTCGATTGGGAAATGTGGCTCGGTTAACCAAATAATAAATCATTTATTATTTAAATTACGCTCGTCTAATTACATAATAAATTTTTATTACTAAATATCTCTCGGCTTATATTTAATTACATAATAAATTTTTTATTACTAAATATCGCTCGGCTTATATTTATGTATTAAATTTCCAAACATTTTCCAGTGGGTTTTCACTTTCCTAAATTAAGAATTAATTAGTTTATAAATAAGATAAAAGTTTGGACAGGTGTAAAAAATTATCTATTAGATATTTTAGCTTCAATACTTTTATAAAATTAAAATTGCTCATAACATTTTTTATTTATTAAAGTAAAAGAAATAATATTCTATCCGCTAGTTGGCGTCTTTAAATTTTTTATTATAAAATTTAAAAATAATATTTTTGAATGTGTTTAATAAATTTCACCATATTCTATCATGATGATTAAAATATTTATGATTTTTTTTATAGCATTATCTATATTTTGGTAAAAAATTAGTAGTCTTTTTTAGATTTTGCAATTTTTATTAATCAGATAAATAACGATGGAAATTCATTTTATTCATTCATATATAAATCATAATTATTTTTACCAAATTGATATATAATGTTATTATAATATAATTATTGCGTTCATAAAATATAATTTGTTTGGCAGAGAAGATTTAAATATACATTTAGGATAATAAAATTATATATATTGATGAAATAGATTATGAGCAGGGGAAAATTGGGGAAAAATAAGGAATTAAAATTTATAAAAAATATTTTATCGAGTCCTTTTTGCTTTAATTCTACGTCGCTGATGTGGTTTTTTTGAGCCTTTTAAAACAGATAAAGTTTTATCTAATGAATGTAATTTATCTTTGCTTTGACTATTAAGTAAATTATTTAATGTATCATGACAATCTATCGATTCGGGTATTAAATAATTGCGATATTCATTACTTAAAATATATTCTCCTTTTCCTGAGAAGGATCTTTCAAATTCTTTTTCTTGTAACATTGTGATATCCTTAATTTTTTCGATTAATTGTTTAAAAGGACGTTGTTTCCAGTTTATATATGATTTTAAAACATGGTTCATAGATTCGTAGTTGTTATTTGTCCATAAACAATTTATTATTTTATTTTTTAGGGGAATGTAAACATGTTCATAAATTACTTTTTAAAATTTATTTTTTATATATGGAAAAAAAATATTTAAATTTTCATTATTACAATAATTGTATAAATCGTTTAATTTTTCATTATATATTTGGTCATTCCGAGAAAATAAAATCCCATTAAAAGAAAAAATATCCTGTATATTTTTTTTAGACATAACAGCATTTACACCTTGTTTTTCCGACAAATATTTTCTTATATTGTCTTTTAAATGACGTGTGCATATTAAATGAGTATTAAATTTAAATATTTCCTGAATAGGTTTTACTATAGCCTTTTCTTGATCACTACCAAATATGATATTTTTAATATTTATTTTATTTTTTAAAAATACAGAATGCAAATGAGAGAAAAAAGTATGATAAGTGGTCATATCAGAATCTCCATGCAAATATATTGGTCCTAAAAATATAGGGGATTCATCTGTTTTATATCTCTTAACTGCTATATGTTTAAATACTATAGCAGTTAGGTATAGATCACCCAAATTAAATGTTTTATCAACGCCTAATATACAGAAGTCAGATTGGTTTGACAAAAACTTAATAGTTTTAATAATAAAATGAGTATAACAAATTATCGATGGTGTTTTCTCTTTGATGTGAATTATTGATTGGATAAATGGCAAAATATGTAGGCCATTAGTAATTTGTAAAATATTATCCGCAAAATTTAGAGGTACTTTTGTATCTTTTTTAAGTTTATAATTTAAGTTATAAATTTGTTTTAAATTTTTTGGTTTAATTGGGTCTTTTTGAAATATATAATTATTATAAATATTGCGACATGTTTGATTGTCCTTTATTTGATTTCTAATGTTTGATAATAACTGATTTGAAGTCCGTACATAAGGATTTACAATCTATTTGGAATTCCCATGGCAAGCGGGACCTGGCCATTGTCCTATATATTCCACTAAATATATATCTTTGAAATCGTAATTAGGCTTTTCAATAAAATTAATTTTTAAAATTCGGCGTTTATACTCTTTACTTCTCTTTAAAATACTATAGTATTTATAAAGAACAATTATATTTTTGGTTAAAGGTTGAGGTTCTATTTTTTTAAAAATTCTAGAACCACCTAGATGAGTGCCTGCCTAAATAGGCCATCTTTAAAAATATACGGACCTTGAACAATATCATTATATATATTATAATATAATTTTCTTGAGCTTGATTTTGAGCCTGTCCATGGCCCACAATCATCTATATATAAATTTTTATTCTTATAATTTGTAAAATTATTATTAGAAATTAAAAAATACATATTATATTTTATACCTAAAGGTATTTCGTGCAATATATTATTGGGAGAAAGCAAAATTTTTATGGATTTTACAATGTTTAAAAAAAACCCATAGTTTGGATGACCTCCTTCGGCTATAATATTGTTTAAAAAAAAAGGTAAAGATTTTAATCGGATATCTTCGCTACATGGTTTTTTTAGAATATTTTCTATCGAAAATGATAAATCTTTTATGATATTGTTGGACAGTTGGGGTTTTTTTGTTAATGTATTAATATAATTATTTGGTATGAGAGATACAAAGTGATTGATTCTAATATAAAATATATCATTTGGACATATGGTAGATGTCCACATGATTAAAATATGAGGCTTTAAACTCTGGCTTACACCCCTGCCATA